TCTGTATCAAAAAGGTGCTATATAAATTAAGTTTTACTTACTTACTTACTTACATGCACAGGTTTGTTAGTTTCGCTTTCCAATAAAATATGGCAATATTAAGTTTACAAGAACTGAAAAGACAATGTTAAAACATGAATAATACTAATATTGACAGAGCTTGTCCAATGTGACCACCCACTGGATGCTTCAGAACCTCTGATTCTAACCCTCCTACACTTCAAACAACATTTAAACAGCTGTATTTCAAAGTTAAGTGCTGTGTGAATACTGAGGATTTGTTAGTGTCCATTGTGTTGGCGGAGGATTTCAATCTTTACAGAAATGAACTCAAGCCTGACCTGAGGGTAACGCTTTACTATTTAATCACCAGTTTGGCTGAGGCCCAGCTCCACTGCAGCATACAGGTTGTCCATCAGTGGGCTTTGTTTAAACAAATGACCAATGCTGTCATTATTCCATTATGGGCACTCTTTGATCTAATTATTGCCACCCAATAAAGATATTCTACGGACAAGTAACCTGACATATCTTCTTCCTCTGTGCCATAGAGCTCCATTGTTGTCCAAAAACTCACACTGCTGCACTGGGTGACACATTCCTTCATTACCGTGAACACATGTTGTAGTTTATTTCCACTCCCACAAACTGAGTGGTTTTGGTATTTTGACGGGGCCCTAACCCACCAAAACAAGTTGTGGGAATAAACTTATCTAATCTAAACAAACTGACGCTTCTTAAATCCTTCTTAAATCAATTGATTTGAATTAGCTTGCTAGATAGCAAGCATTTCGTTAATATTAGCTAGCTAACTTAAAATAAGACTATAGTGCTATCTTTGTCCCTTCCATCTTTTAACTATATTTAAAATGTGATTGTCTTTCCAACACTAGCCTAGCGCAAGTAGGAAAGGAGAAAGTTCACCACGGTTCTTAACAAGGCTTGCTCAACTGCTATTGGAGCACAGAGCAAAAGGGGGTGGGACTTAGGAATTGTGGTCTTGTGAATAAAAACTGTCCTCTCATGCAGAAAGATGAAAATACTGTTACCTAAAAGCAGCCTCTGATGGATGATAGCCAAACCCCTTGCGGTTGTCATTAGGGAGGTATCTCACTGTGGTTTGTGTCTCCTGCCAAGTGTCAGCAGCGGTTTCTTTTAAAAAGCATCCCATCTTTTAGAAACTTTAAGTACTAAGTTGCTAACCAGACCTTGATGTGTTTTCCATGACCGTGATCTTTCCCAAACTTTAAGCAAGCAGTTTGGTGTGTCTATGTCGTGCTGATAGAGCCATCTGGTGAGCAGTATTCTAATATTGGATTTTTTGGAAGGCACTGAGAAATGACCAGTTTCGTTGTTAAAGTATGGGGACTTGCTGGAAGTTTATGACTCCCAAGCAAACATAAAACCGTCTCAGCAAATCTTAGTTTGCTGCAATAAAATACCCTTTGGTGTTTTTGGCTCACTTACAGGTTTATCACTTCCTGTCTTTATTAGAGGGTTAGGGTTGGGGCTACTTCACAGAACCAAATATCCACAGGACCAGCAATACAACTAGTAACAGTTCTGAAAATTGGTACAAACGACTGCATTTATAAAGACGACAAACCTAATCCCTTGTCCTCCTCATGTATAATAAACTATCAGAGAGATTTAGTGGGTAATAAAAACTGTCTTCTCTGACTGAACTTCATAAAGCAATAACAGTCCATCTCTACTCACTCCTAATGTATTAAACCTAAATCTTAAACACTTGTCAGAAGCACAGATAAGCCTCCTGGAGAAAGGGTCACCCTTCATCATAGTCCATACACACTTGCGAGAAGCTTCAAAGGGACACATAAAGTTCTCATAAAGTCTTGCAATTATTAGACTTAAATTACAGTAAGGACTTTATCCACAGCTACATCTGGAAAACAACTGTTCCCTTTTGACAAGAGGGTTTTAACACCTAAGAAGACAGGAATAGAGAATATCACACACACTTTTCTCTGCAGATACGACAGACCTGTGAATCACAAACACAGACATGCCACCTATTACTTCAAGTAATCATCCATGAAATGTTTATATAATTGAATATATGCTTTGCTACCTTAACTCATTGCCTACATTTACGTGCACATAATAATCCCATTATGGACAGTAATCAGAGTGAGGCATTAGTCCAATTATGTGGCCTTTATTACTTTATTAACCATAATATATTAAACTGCCTCTACTGCTTCTTTGGTTATCATGCTGACATGAACTAAATATTAGTATTAGTATTAGTATACTAATATATATATATATATATAAAAATAAGCTTGATATGTATGTGATTGGATCATATTTGTTGGACATGATTCAAAGAAAATTCTGATAAAAGAAATCAACCCATGTTTCCATGATTCTAACTTATTGGCTTTTGTTTGTTTGTGTTGTTTGTTGTACTTTTTTTAAAAGTTATTCTTTGAATGAACTTTAAATTAAATCATAGAAAGTATTTCCATGTGATTAAATGGCTTCCTTTCAGGATTAAGCAATTCTGTTTGGTCAACTTCATTTACTTGGTCTGAGTCAACGTAATTTAATAGGGCTGATTTAGATTTAGTTACTCTAGTAAATTAAGTTGACCCAACAGAATTGCTTAATCGTGAAAGAACACCATTTAATCACGATATTATTTTGAGAGTGTGTGTGTGTGTGTGTGTGTGTGATTATCTTGTTTCGTGACGGTGTAGCAGCTGATAACCGGAAGCTGAAAGGAAAGAGGGGACATTAGATGTGTGTGTCCTCAACTATTGCTGACAAGTACTCCTACACACACACGTGCGCGCGCACACACACACACACACACACACAGAGTTTGTTTACCAGTAAATAAACCCTCCGAGGTTCCTCTGTCATGCTGATGTGAGGCGACTGCTGTTCGATCAGATCAGATCTGTTGTTTACCGCCGGAGGAAGAAGACTTTAGTAAAGACTTTAATTAATAACCTGATGAACATTCGTTTCCATCATTTTCTCATTTGTTTAAGAAAAAAATTGCAAATTATGATTTCAGCTTCTCATATGTGAATATTTTCTGGTTTGTTTTTTCGTCTTTGACAGTAAACTGAATATATTTTGGTTGTGAATAAAAAGAGACATTTTAAATTTCACATTTAAGGATATTTTCTGTAATTTTATGAACCAAAAAACTAATTGATTAATCAAGAAAATGGCCGTATGATTGTCAATCGTTAGCCCTAATCACAAGCAGTGTTAGCAGGTTTTATTAAATATATTATTAACAAGCTTATTGAAGGTTGTTCATTCAGTATGAAGCTTCAGCCAGTTAGCTTAGCTTAGCACAAAGACTGAAATCAAAAGCTTAAAAGCTCACTGAGTGTTAAATCTCATTCGATCTGTTCAGAAAGCTGAGCGACGTGTTTCTTTGTGTCGTTATGTGTTTACAATAAATAGTTCTCTGCTCCTGGTTCTGCTCCGGCCTTTGAGATGCTAACGGAGTCGTCAGTCGGCTCTCTGCAGACGTCTGAAGGCCAAAAACACACAAACAAACACACACACTTAGTTTTAAGTTACTTTTTATTTATTGTTAGGGCTGCTTTTATCAGTTCAATAGGTTGTATTGGCCAAAGCACGATTATAAGAACATTAAAGAATGAAAGTGATGAAAACAATGTTTATACAAATAGTTCGTAAAATAAAATAGATGATTAAATAGATGAATGTAAAGGAATAATGTGTATATCTCCAGTAACTGATAGTCCTACAGACTTGACTTTACTCTTTTTACGAGACACCAAACGTTTAATTTAATGAGAAATTACAGATTATAGATTATTATTCTGCCCTCTCTACCAAAGATTGGCACAAAAAGTTGGCCATAAAAAGTCTCCTGTGTGTTCATCTTCATCCAGAAACAGATTCTCAGATTGAAGAAGCTGCAACCAGAGAACAGTCGGTCTTCTTGCATGAAAAAGTACTAAATAAATACATCTACTATATCTACTATATCTGCTATCTAATCTACTATAAAACTACTGGGATACAGCCCCTGCACCTACAGTGAGAAAGTGAGGAAGATCCAATTAAAATTAAACATTGTTGAGAATTAAACCTTTTTTTGAAGTCACTGTTACAGCTGTGGTATGAAGTTCTCGTGTCAGTACCCGGATGTTTAAATAAATCATTCTGTGATCTGAAGACCTTCAGTTATTGATTACAGGTGAGTTAATTAATCAATATAAATGATATATCATTATTTGCTCTCCAGACGGCGTATCCTCTGATCGACAGCATCGACCCTCAGGGCTTCGTCATGTATCGTCTCTTCAGAGACGCAACGCACTACATGGAGGGGCATCATGTTAAGGTACAGTGTGTGTGTGTGTCTGTGTGTGTGTCTGTGTGTGTGTCTGTGTGTGTGTTCTGTGTGTGTGTGTTCTCTCTGTATTAAAAGGACGAATCATCGGTCTAGTTTCTTTGCCTCAGCTCTCGACCTCAGTGAAACTTCCCTGAATAAATAAAACAAATTGAAATACAATGATAATAAAAAGAGACAAGAACAATTTTAAAGAATATATAAAAAAAATGTAAAAGAAATATGACTGAATAAACATAAATAACAGATTAAATGAAAGCAGATAAAACACAAACAGTAATTTATTTGTAGGATTTGACTGTTTGTGCAGCAGTTACAGAGTGAACATTGTGATTATTAACTGTATAAAACCTGATAATAATCTCTTTAATAGACTCATTATGACCTCAACAATTAACTCTGAACACTTTATAATTAAAACTTCTTCTAAAAAGGTTGAATTCAGGTTTTCAGTCGCTTTAAGAAAAGTTTCTAAAGTTGAAAACACCTGAAACACA